AAGCTTCTCCAACTCAAAGTACTTGAATATTTTACAAGGATATAGAGCCCAAGCTCATTAAGAGTATGTTTTGTTCAGTTTTCAAGTATTTCAACATTTTAATATTATTCATATTTTATAAGTTTAATTTTTTTAAAAAAAACTTACATTTTTAAATTTTTTTTAACATTAAAAAGATCCCAAACAATAAAAACTCAAAAGTTTCAAATCTAAATTTTTCATAAACTCTCTTTTTACTCATTTTTTTCTATCTCTAAAAACAATTTTTAAATTTTTTTTCCAATAAAAATTTAAATTTATCACTCATAAACAATAAAAAAAAATAATAAACTCTTACAAATTAACCCCAACAGACCCTAAATCCGTGGGCTTAAAGCTAAGGTCAAGCCCAGTTAAACTTGAGTTTTAGCCTAACTCTCTGTTCAAAAACTTAGTCGAGAGAGATACATTAAAGGCCTCCAGGGCTATCTATTAATATTTGAGAAAGAAAAAAAAAATAAAAATTTTCATTACTAAAAAAAATTTCTATCACTAGAAAACCACAAAATACTTTATTTGTATACGATAGGTTTTTTTTTTTTTTTTGACCAGTGAAAATTTTAGAAGATGAAAAAATAGTTACAATATTACTATACTAACAACTTAAATCCTAGATAAAAATACCAAAAAAAAAGTATATTTCCATCGCGGCTAATGCCGCAAGTGCATTTGTATACGATAGTTACACTTCAAATATATAAAATTTCAAATTATTAGGTCTGCTTGACAAAGGTAGGCAATCAAAGAGAAACTCTTAAACGAAAATGATGTATGATTTGTATATAATTTCACTTTTAGGATAAACTGAATCTAGACAGCGGCCACAATTAAAAAACCCTAAATAATTTCCACTCAGAGAAATTGCCCTTTCGGAAAGGTATGACCACTTCTTCTAAAGACAGATGATGACAAAACAAGAAGTCCAAATATATATAAATAGCCTACAAAAAGCAAGTAGTCACAAAAACAATTTTTTCTTTTTTTGGCTTTACAGTCCCTATATCAATTGGAGCATATGGGGAAGCAAAGTCTTATTTTTGCTCCAACTATTGTTTAATTAATTGGGTCGGAATCTCATTGTCAATGAAGAAAGTCTTTGAAAGCAACATGTTGGCTACTTGTTACATCAAAAAAAAAAAAAAAAAACTAAATAAAAATGTTTTTTTAGTTAAAAAATAAAAATGTTGTCAACTTGTTTTGGCTGCTTATAAAGTAGTAAATTTGGATTAGAAAAATATTAAGAGTATTTCAAGTCGTTAAGTGATTAATATTTAAAATTATAGATTTTAAATTTAAATTATTTAAATTTTAAAATGGATGAAAAAAAATAAAAAAAATTATCTCTTTTTATAAAAATATTTAAATATTTTTATCTATTCAAATTTAACTGTTCATTTATTAAAATTTTTTAAAATATTTTTCTAACTTGAGTTAACTTTTTATTTAGCGAATTTGGATTGATAAAACCATTTATGATTATTTCTTTTTTCTCCTCCTTCAATCCCAACCAGTTTCGCCCTAAAAGAAAGCTCCTACTTGTTTTCACTTTTGCCGTTTTGAAACATGAAATTTTTTCAAGTTCCAAAATCTCAATGTCCCTCATTCCCCCAAGAAGGGACCAAAATAAATGGGTTTATTAGATGGACAAATCCATGTTTAAGTATAGGTTTAATAATCCATCAAGAAAAAAAAAGTATAAGTTCAATAAATACATGAGACAATTGGGTAGCAAACAGAAAACATATCAATGTTGAAAAGAAAAAAGAAGGAAAAAAAAAAACAGAAACCAGATGAGGCTAATGGAGGTTGTGAAAGAATCAACGATCAAGGACATAGATGATTAAAAAAAGAAAAAAAAAAGCAAAAAAAGACGATCAAGGACATAAAAAATAAATTTAAAAAGGTTTACCTCATTTTATTTGTAGTTGGCACGCGCCCATCAATTTTGAAAATCCAGCACCAAATAAAATTTTAGTTGTACCAAATCCATTGCCAGGAACAAGACTACTATTTTTTTTTTTTTGGGAATATTGAGTGATGTATTATATAATGAAAAATAATTTTTTGTGTAAATTTTTTATTTAAAAATTTAAATTTATAATTTATAATATAAAAAAAAATTTAACTCTTCATTATTTAACGTTCCATAAAGACAACAGGACTACTAATTAATTGGAAGGTGAGAATTTCTAGCTTCCGACAACCCTTCTCAACATCAATTATAAATATTTGAGGGATAAATTTACATTTTTTTAATTAAATATTTATATTTAAATTTAATATTTTTAAATTGTTTATAAAATGAGTTTATCTTATGTTTGAGTTGAGCACAAAAGAAAGAACTGAAATAAAAAAATTATTAAAATATAACATTTTATTTATAGCTTATAGGAATAGCGGGAAGTATAGTAAATATTACCAGTCCCCTCAAAATTCCTTTTTTTTTTTT